GTGAGAGAGTGCAGCGAGAGTGCAGTGTGAGAGAGTGCAGTGTGAGAGTACAGCGTGAGAGAGTACAGCGAGATTACAGCGTGAGAGAGTGCAGTGTGAGAGAGTACAGCGAGAGTGCAGGGTGAGAGAGTACAGCGAGAGTGCAATGTGAGAAAGCATAGCGAGAAAACAGCATGAGAGAGAGTGCAGCAAAAGTGCTGTATAACAGAGATCAGCGAGTGCAGTGCAAGAGAGTAAAGCGACAGTGCAGTGTGAGAGAGTATAGTGAGTGCAGGCTGAGAGAGTACAGCGAGAGTGCAGGATGAGAGAGTACAGCAAGAGTGCAGCGTGAGAGAGTACAGCGAGAGTGCAGTGTGAGAGAGTACAGCGAGAGTGCAGGGTGAGAGAGTACAGCAAAAGTGCAGCGTGAGAGAGTACAGCGAGCGTGCAGTGCGAGAGTGCAGTGTGAGAGAGTATAACGAGAGTACAGCGAGAGTGCAGGGTGAGAGAGTACAGCAAGAGTGCAGGGTGAGAGAGTACAGCAAGAGTGCAGCGTGAGAGTACAGCGAGAGTGCAGTGCGAGAGTGCAGTCTGAGAGAGTATAGCGAGAGTGCAGGGTGAGAGAGTACAGCGAGAGTGCAGGGTGAGAGAGTACAGCGAGAGTGCAGTGCAAGAGTGCAGTCTGAGAGAGTACAGCGAGAGTGCAGTGTGAGAGAGTACAGCGAAAGTGCAGTTAGAAAGAAAGAAGATGGAGGCTCCCACAAAGGAAAGTGTCAGATAAATAAACCTCCCCCCAGCGTTACCCCTGGTCGCCGCACGCCAAGCTGGGTATTTTTCGTATTTGGAAATTATGACAGAAACAATAAATTAACTTGCTAGAAGAATGCAAATAAGATGCAAATATTCCTTCACCGCAAATTGTGCGGAATTCTACGTGAATTAGACATTTTAGCCAAAAAAATAGTTCGCCAAACTAGAAATGTCGCAAAATATTTCAATTTTTTCCTAAAATTTTTAATTAGTTCTGAATTCATTAAGGGGTTTATTGTCTGAATTCTAAATTTACCAAATTTAAATCTGAGAGGAAAATCCAGGGCGCGGTACGGTAGCGATAGTCATAGCTCGGCTGTTTTGGCTGAATTTTACATTTCTGAGTTTATTGAATAAACCCTCCCAGCTCTAGCAATACGTTACGATCTATCATTAGCTTCTAAACCAGGCTGGCCACATACTGACCCCACAGCTGTTAAAGATCTAGGACCGTAGGTCATTTCCCACAATGCACAGCACAATCTACCCAGTCCAACAAACCATACGATAAAAGTTAAATACTATCTCAACTAATTATTCCAAGTCACCACAAAATAATACGTTTATGGAGTGCCTCTGTGTCGGACAAACTAGATGTTTTCTGAGGATTGTAAAACTCACAGTATTTCAAATTAACCAACACGGACACTTGTATCGTCTGTGAGTTTCCAGCACTAACAGCTCCATTAAATGCTAGGACTCCTCTCTGGTAGCGTACGCAGGATATACTGAGCTGATATCTGGTTACAATACGATATTCTATCTATCCAGCCTTCTGCCAATACCCTTATTAGTAATTACTCTATAGAGGTCAATCAATAGCCATATCTTGTGAGACCTCAAGGAAGAGACAACACCACGTACTTCTTGGCAACTCAGACTGACTCCGTTTATTGTATCCACATCCAGCCATCAAAGATCACAGCATTCAGTAAAATAAACATCACCAACGGGAACGGGAACACTAGTTTAGCGAGAGCCAGAGAGTTTCCTAAACAGCCACAAAGTGATTCCTTACGCTAGTTTAGCGACAGCCAGAGAGTTCCCTAAACAGCCACAAAGTGATTCCTTACACTAGTTTAGCGACACCCAGAGAGTTCCCTAAACAGCCACAAAGTGATTCCTTACGCTAGTTTAGCGACAGCCAGAGAGCTTCCTAAACAGCCACAAAGTGATTCCTTACACTAGTTTAGTGACACCCAGAGAGCTTCCTAAACAGCCACAAAGTGATTCCTTACGCTAGTTTAGCGACAGCCAGAGAGTTCCCTAAACAGCCACAAAGTGATTCCTTACACTAGTTAGGGACAGCCAGAGAGTTTCCTAAACAGCCACAAAGTGAAATCTGATCAACAAAGGCCCAGCTTGGTTTTATTTGAAAACATTATAGTGAATTGTGCTCCCATGAATATTGATGGAGGAGATTGCTCACGAGAACATTGTTGGTATGAAGCAGCTTGTTAAACATTACTTGCATTCCTAGTGAGACGAGTCATGACTCCAACATACTTCTATTCTGTATGACAGTTACTAAATATTTTATAAATAATAAATGACTGCTTAGGTTCTACTCTCTTCACGAGACTTCCTTAAGTGCTAAATGCGATAAAAGTAATGTTTAATTTAATTTTTTTTGCATTATATTGCAACTTGTACAGAGTAATTGGTGGAGATTTCTTTACTCCTTCCATTGTGTAACTCTGTGGCATGTTAGGGGTTAATTTCCTGCTGACTATTAAGAGTGAATATTAGGTCTTACCTCTGGTGTATAAGCTGGGATGATGGGTATAACAGGCACCCAACTCTTAATTCGGAGGTGCAGGATAACACGTCCTGAAGGCTACTGGTCAACAGTCAGTCCGAGGATTACTCTATGGGGGCCACCAAATGCCACTGAGAGCCCAGCAGGTTTGGATCGGCTTCGGTGAACACTTAAAGGGAGAAAAATAACCGCAAAACAACCTTAAAATTACTCATCCAGCCCAGTAGTTTAGGAAAGGTCCGTCAGGATCGGTCTATGCAACTCAAGGATTCAGGAACAGTCAATGCAGGCCAACGATTCAGGAATGTCTTTACAGACAAACGATTCAGAAACAGTCCATAAAAGCCAACAATTCAGAACAGTCTGTACAGACTAATGATTCAGAACCAGTCTATACACACCAGCGATCCAGAAACAGCCCATAAAAGCTGACTATTCAGGAATGGTCTGTCCAGCCCGGTGATTCAGGGATAGTCTGTCCAGCCCGGTGATTCAGGAATGGTCTGTCCAGCCCGGTGATTCAGGGATAGTCTGTCCAGCCCGGTGATTCAGGAACGGTATGTCCAGCCCGGTGATTCAGGAACGGTCTGTCCAGCCGGTGATTCAGGAACGGTATGTCCAGCGCGGTGATTCAGGAATGGTCTGTCCAGCCCGGTGATTCAGGAACGGTCTGTCCAGCCTGGTGATTCAGGAACGGTCTATCCAGCCCGGTGGTTCAGGAACGATCCATCCAGCCCGGTGGTTCAGGAACGGTCTGTCTAGTCTGGTGATTCAGGAACGGTCTGTCCAGTCTGGTGATTCAGGAACGGTCTGTCCAGTCTGGTGATTCAGGAACAATCCTTCCAGCCCAACGCTCTCTGGTTCCCACGTCTCAATCACTCTTGTTAATCTCGTGCCATTCAGTTAGAGTAAGTAACTATGTCCCTTCGCTCACAGCCAGCAGTGATACTTTCTTGACTTATAAACCTTTTGGTGTCTTGTGTAAGGATATTACAATGTGTTACGAGTCCTTTGCAGTTTCATTTTTCCACTCAAAGCGTACTCACCTCTTCCTCGTTAGCCCTCTCTCTGAAAGTATTTAAATATCTCTACCTGCAAATAGTGATCTGGCCCCCCTTCCCCTCCTAACCCCGTCTTAGCTCTCACTCCTGTGACAAGTGCCTGGCTGCGTGCAGGCCCCAACAGTCAGTGAGCGGAATGCGTCCGGCGACAGTTTGAAGTGAGACTACAGCTGGATATCCATGTTTGGAGCGAAACCCAAGGAGAGTTTTACAGAGAGAGCGCAACACTTGAGATTACAGAACAGTCTGCCAGATAGCTGCATTTTAAAGCAGGGAGGGGGCTCACAGACCCTCAGCGATCCATTCCGTGCCAAGCTGACCTGCATTAACCCCCTCCCTGCCAAAACTGCCCACAGCAACTACTACACTGCCAAATGGGGCTACACTAACCCTTTCACTGCCAAATGAGTCTACACTAAACCTTTTACTGCCAAAGTGGTCTGCACTAAGCCTTTCACTGCCTGCCAAAGGGGTCTGCACTAACACGTTCACTGCCAAATGGGTCTGCACTAACCCTTTCACTGCCAAAGGGGTCTACACTAACCTGATCACTGCCAAAGGGGTCTGCACTAACCCTTTCAATTAGATGTAATTATACAATAAGGTGTAATAATCCATTGGATGACAAATAATACAATGAGCTATAATAATACAATAAACTGTAATAATACATTGAATGACAAATAATACGATGAGCTGTAATAATACATTGAATGATTAATGATACAATGAGCTGTAAAAATACAATGAGCTGTAATAATTAAATAAGCCATAATAATCCATTGAATATCAAATAATACGATGAGCTGTAATAATGCATTGAATGATTAATGATACAATGAGCTGTAATAATACAATAAGATGTAATAATCCATTGAATGACAAATAATACAATGAGCTGTAATAATACAATAAGCTGTAATAATGCATTGGATGATAAATAATACAATGAGCTGTGTGATGGAACACTTGTGTCCATACAGGGAGCAGCCCTGCACTTCACCAAAAGACTTGGTCACTACCCCTGACTCTCATCACCTACCGCTCCTTGCTAACCATCCGAGAGCGCCTCTACCAAGGGCCGGCCATTGAGTCCAGAGAGCCTCCAGACCCTAGTGGGACTTGGTCACAATTCTATGGAACCCTGATTCGGCTGCGCCTAATTGCATTCCCTGGCCAACTTCCACCTCAATTGTCGCTCACTTTCCAACCAGCCAGGAGAGCGCTAATTGAAGAGGAGCTAGACTGAGAGGAACAATCGCTCTCTGAGAGCCAGGAGGAGCGCCCCATTTTCAGTTCACAGGATCTCCTGATGTTTGACTGGCCAAAGAGACATTTGTCAAGGAATCATTTTCGGCATAGAATTTGTTATTGGCCTGTCAAATCTTTACCCTGGTAGAGATGTCTATTCTTAATGGATCCGGGCGCTATTTTGCCAAACTGGGGCGTTCAGATCAGAGGTATCCAGGGACATATGATATGTTGGGGTTCCTGTTATGTAGGGGGTAATCTATAGTCTCCTCTCCTAGGGGGTAATCTATAGCCTCCTCTCCTGAGGGTAATCTATAGCCTCCTCTCCTAGGGGGTAATCTATAGTCTCCTCTCCTATGGGGTAATCTATAGCCTGGACTCCTAGAGGTAATCTATAGCCTCTTCTCCTAGAGGGTAATCTATAGCCTCCTTGTTATGGTACACCCAGGTATAAAAGGGGTTAATACCGCTGAGGACATTCACCTTCCGAATGGAGAGACAGCTAACGAAAGCTCCAATCAGCCGAACAGGAACCATATGAAATCCTTCACGTATCAAACAGCCGAACGAGTAAACCATACTAATCCAATACCCCCAAGTACGAGACCAAGCTCCGTATTGAGGGTTAAGCAGAGATCTGATTTATTAAAGAGACACTATAAGTCAACTGAACAACTTTAGCTTAATGAAGCAGTTTTGGTGTATAGAACATGCCCCTGCAGCCTCACTGCTCAATTCTCTGGAACCCTAGTCACCTCCCTGCGTGTGACTTGCACAGCCTTCCATAAACACTTCCTGTAAAGAGAGCCCTATTTTCTTATCCCCTGCTATGTTAATAGCTTGCTAGACCCTGCAAGAGCCTCCTGTATGTGATTAAAGTTCAATTTAGAGATTGAGATACAATTATTTAAGGTAAATTACATCTGTTTGAAAGTGAAACCAGTTTTTTTTTCATGCAGGCTCTGTCAATCATAGCCAGGGGAGGTGTGGCTAGGGCTGCATAAACAGAAACAAAGTGATTTAACTCCTAAATGACAGTGAATTGAGCAGTGAAATTGCAGGGGAATGATCTATACACTAAAACTGCTTTATTTAGCTAAAGTAATTTAGGTGACTATAGTGTTCCTTTAAGGGCTACATGCCCGGTATTTATGCAGATCTCCCACCTGGTGGACACTCCCCTAGGGGACCAGACGGAAGACTGGGACAATATGGATATAGTAGCCAATCACAGTGGCACAAGCATAAACACTCCCCTTTAGCTGAGAACAACCCTCCTCTCTATCCTGGAGATAATTGGGAAGTAATCCAATTATCTTCACGGAAAGAGGCCAAACTCTATTTTGTACATAATAATAAAAATACATAAAAATCAATAACTCCAAATTACACGAATAGAATAACCACATTTAATGTATCCCCAGATAGCTTAGATCTGAGCGCACATTATAACTGAATGGCGCTCAGATCCTATATACACAGTTCAATCGCCATGGAGCCAAAGTATTTCACATTGTCTTTCAGTATACGAACAGGCTCCATGGGATGGCTATGTGGGGTAAGTCATTTTGTGCAGAAAAGTACTGAACGGACCGTCGTTCGTATGCTGGAAGGCAGAGAAGGGAGGTCGGTGGTTTCAGTGGTGTTCGGGAGAAATAGTGTCCGTTTTCAGTTCCAGGAAATCATCGAAGAACACCACTGATTATTCGTGAGTCCAAGATGGCCGCCGCCTCATGGTCGGCATACAAACGACAAGCACCCAGCATACCGTTGATAATTAAGAGGTGTCTGCGGTTAACCACAACGTTCTAATGAGGCCAAGAGGTTAACAAGCAGCACACTTCCAGGCTGGGTGACCGGCCGTTCGGCAGTTTGTTTGTGAGTTTAGGAAATAAACGAATGAGGGGTACGGACAGGCAATTAACCAAAAAACAGACGAACCCAGCGGGTTATAGGCACAGTTCCAAGACAGAGGGATCTGTCACACTCCTCTCCTAGGGCGTAATCTATAGCCTCCTCTCCTAGGGGGTAATCTATAGCCTCCTCTCCTAATGGATAATCTATAGCCTCCTCTCCTAGGGGGTAATCTATAGCCTCCTTTCCTAGAGGGTAATCTATAGCCTCCTCTCCTAGGGGGTAATCTATAGCCTCCTCTCCTAGAGGGTAATCTATAGCCTCCTCTCCTAGGGGGTAATCTGTAGCCTCCTCTACTAGAGGGTAATCTATAGCCTCCTCTCATAGGGGTAATCTATAGCCTCCTCTCATAGGGGGTAATCTATAGCCTCCTCTCCTAGAGGGTAATCATTAGCCTCTTCTCCTAGAGGGTAATCTATAGCCTCCTCTACTAGGGGGTAATCAATAGCCTCCTCTCCTTGGGGGTAATCTATAGCCTCCTCTCCTAGGGGGTAATCTATAGCCTCCTCTCCTAGAGGGTAATCTATAGCCTCCTCTCCGAGGGGGTAATCTATAGCCTCCTCTCCTAGGGGGTAATCTATAGCCTCCTCTACTAGAGGGTAATCTATAGCCTCCTCTCATAGGGGTAATCTATAGCCTCCTCTCCTAGGGGGTAATCTATAGCCTCCTCTACTAGGGGGTAATCAATAGTATCCTCTCCTAGGGGGTAATCTATAGCCTCCTCTACTAGAGGGTAATCATTCGCCTCCTCTACCAGGGGATAATCAATAGCCTCCTCTCCTACGAATGGACCGGCGTTCGTATGCTGGAAGGCAGAGAAGGGAGGTCGGTGGTTTCAGTGGTGTTCGGGAGAAAAAGTGTCCGTTTTCAGTTCCAGGAAATCACCGAAGAACACCACTGATTATTCGTGAGTCCAAGATGGCCGCCGCCTCATGGTCGGCATACAAACGACGACCACCCAGCATACCGTTGATAATTAGGAGGTGTCTGCGGTTAACCACAACGTTCTAATGAGGCCAAGAGGTTAACAAGCAGCACACTTCCAGGCTGGGTGACCAGCCGTTCGGCAGTTTGTTCGTGAGTTTAGGAAATAAACGAATGAGGGGTACGGACAGGCAATTAACCAAAAAACAGATGAACCCAGTGGGTTATAGGAACAGTTCCAAGACAGAGGGATCTGTCACACTCCTCTCCTAGGGGGTAATCTATAGCCTCCTCTCCTAGGGGGTAATCTATAGCCTCCTTTCCTAGAGGGTAATCTATAGCCTCCTCTCCTAGGGGGTAACCTATAGCGTCCTCTCCTAGGGGTAATCTATAGTCTCCTCTCCTAGGGGGTAATCTATAGCCTCCTCTCCTAGGGGGTAATCTATAGCCTACTCTACTAGAGGGTAATCTATAGCCTCCTCTACTAGGGTGTAATCTATAGCCTCCTCTCCTAGGGGTAATCTACCTCCTTGGGGTAATCTATAGCCTCCTCTCCTAGAAGGTAATCTATAGCCTCCTCTCCTAGAGGGTAATCATTAGCCTCCTCTCCTAGAGGGTAATCTATAGCTTCCTCTCCTAGAAGGTAATCTATAGCCTCCTCTCCTAGGGGTAATCTACAGCCTCCTCTCCTAGAGGGTAATCTACAGCCTCCTCTCCTAGGGGTAATCTATAGCCTCCTCTATTAGAGTGTAATCATTAGCCTCCTCTCCTAGAGTGTAATCATTAGCCTCTTCTCCTAGAGGGTAATCATTAGCCTCTTCTCCTAGAGGGTAATCTATAGCCTCCTCTCCTAGGGAGAAATCTATAGCCTCCTCTACTAGAGGGTAATCTATAGCCTCCACTCATAGGGGTAATCTATAGCCTCCTCTCCTAGAGGGTAATCATTAGCCTCCTCTCCTAGAGGGTAATCTATAGCCTCCTCCCCTAGAAGGTAATCTATAGCCTCCTCTCCTAGGGGTAATCTACAGCCTCCTCTCCTAGAGGGTAATCATTAGCCTCCTCTCCTAGGGGGTAATCTATAGCCTCCTCTCCTAGGGGGTAATCTATAGCCTCCTCTCCTAGAAGGTAATCTATAGCCTCCTCTCCTAGAGGGTAATCTATAGCCTCCTCTCCTAGGGGGTAATCGGTAATCATTAGCCTCCTCTCCTAGAGGGTAATCATTAGCCTCCTCTCCTAGAGGGTAATCTAGAGCCTCCTCTCCTAGGGGGTAATCTAGAGCCTCCTCTCCTAGAGGGTAATCATTAGCCTCCTCTCCTAGAGGGTAATCATTAGCCTCCTCTCCTAGGGGGTAATCTATAGCCTCCTCTCCTAGAGGGTAATCATTAGCCTCCTCTCCTAGAGGGTAATCATTAGCCTCCTCTACCAGGGGGTAATCAATAGCCTGCTCTACTAGGGGGTAATCTATAGCCTCCTCTCCTAGAGGGTAATCATTAGCCTCCTCTCCTAGGGGTAATCTATAGCTTCCTCTCTTAGAAGGTAATCTATAGCCTCCTCTCCTAGGGGTAATCTATAGCCTCCTCTCCTAGAGGGTAATCATTAGCCTCTTCTCCTAGAGGGTAATCATTAGCCTCCTCTCCTAGAGGGTAATCATTAGCCTCCTCTCCTAGAGGGTAATCATTAGCCTCCCTTCCCATTGTTAATCCACCTCCTCAGCTATAAATTACACTGTACAGAACAAAGCTGTATATTTCATCTCTCCAATATTTCCAGCTCAGACCAATGCTTGGCATGTATGAGTTGTGATTCCTTAAGATTTAAAGCTGACTTGTGCAAGAGCCACGTGACTTCTTGTGAAATCTTATATTGTAAATATCAGCCAGATTACACGCCAACACCTGCCGTAATGAGGAATGGGGGGTCGCTGCACCATCTTCAGCAAGAAATGAAGGGGTCTTAGGAGAGGTTGCAGAGTAATGGTTTAGGATGGGTGGGTGGGGGGTAATATCTTCATTATACACAGGTTGGAGAGTAATGTTTTAGGATGGGGGGGACTCCATATACACAGGTTGGAGAGTAATGTTTTAGGATGGGGGTAATGACCCATTATACACAGGTTGGAGAGTAAGGGATGGGGGGAATTCCATTGGTTGGAGAGTAATGTTTAGGATGGGGTGTGACTCCATTATACACGCAATGTTTTAGGATGGGGGCCCCATTATAATACACAGGTTGGAGTCATGTTTTAGGATGGGGGTGTGACCCATATACACAGGTTGAGAGTAATGGTTTAGGATGGGGTGAATGACCACACACAATCGTTGGAGAGTAATGTTTTAGGATGAGAATGACCCATTACACAGGTTGAGAGTAATGTTTAGGATGGGGAGGTAATACCCATTATACACAGGTTGGAGAGTAATTTTAGGATGGGGGGGTATTGGGGATGGGTTGGAGAGTAATGTTTTAGGATGGGGAATGACTCTACACACGGTTGGAGAGTAATGTTTTAGGATGGGGGTAATGACTCCATTAACAGGTTGGAGAGTAATGTTTTAGGATGGGGGAGGTTGGAGTAATGTTTTGGTAAATGACTCCATTATACACAGGTTGAGAGTAATGTTTTAGGGATGGTAAAGTATGAGGGGGGTAATGACCCATTGGTAATGTTTACACAGGTTGGAGAGTAATGGACAGGTTGGAGAGTAATGGATTAGGATGAGGGGGGGGGTAATGACTCCATTATACACAGGTTGGAGAGCAATGATTTAGGATGGGGGGGGAGGGTAATGACTCCATTATACACAGGTTGGAGAGCAATGGTTTAGGATGGGTGGGTAAAGAGAGTATGATGAGCATAGCAATCCCTTGTAGCAGATTCCTCCAATAAGAGACAGGACTCAGATTGAGGGTGAAGAACTACTGAGGTTTAATGACACACACTCTGCTTTTATGCAATTCTCCTGTGCAAGGGAGACGTACACAGACAATTATGAATTACCCAATCACACACTGGTTACGTCCCACACATCTCCTTCTCTTAGCCTGAGACGTAACCCAATTAGCCATACAGTTTAAAACATACTTTTAACCCAACTTTCATAACTCTAAAACTATACATCCAATATTAATAAAAGTCACATATTAATCAGCATATTTCAAATACAAACATACCCAAAAATCATTTTAATCCGTTCAGGAGATAGATATAAGTCACCTTTGACCGCAAGCACATTTTCATGCCCAAAACAAGAGAATCAGGCTATGCGGCCGGTCTATTTCCCATGTTAAAGTCAGTTCAAACAGACGAACAACAACCATTCGAATTGTCGAATGAACTGTCGAATGCATTTGTTCCAGAGAAGGTAAAATTTCAGCGGTGTTCGTGCCGTTTTGTAGCCGATTTTAGTTCCATGAGATTGACGGCACACACCGCTGACTGCATTCGAATGAATCAAAATGGCCGCCGCCACGTGTTCGGTTTTCTAATAGCGGCCACTTCGACTGTATCTGAAGTGCCATGCCAAAACTGCAGGTCCGTTCCCAAAGTATTTAAAAGGGCCAGAGACAGCACAATAAAATACCCAAATACTTATATATATTTAAAGGGCCTCATCTTCCAGGGACCATAATCACATGGCAAGAGGCTGGCAAGTAGTCCTCTCCAGGCACAAGTGGCGAAGGGCACTTCATCACAGTAATGTTTTAGGATGGGGGAGGGAGGGTAATGACTCCATTATACGCAGGTTGGAGAGTAATGGCAGAGGGCTAGGGAATAGAAAGCTGACTTATTTCCTAAATCTATTGTGATATGTGTCACGGATTATAAAATGTCCGTACAACCTATCATGGATGGCCTGGGGGTGGGGTGGGTTAAAGGAATATTATTTCAGGGTTTGGGTGAATGGTGAGAGCAGAGGCTACACCAACCTGTATCTGATTTAATCTTAATACAAGCTCCCTCTCCCTCACTGATGGGCGATTCCCACAATCCGGGTAAACAGAGCGCCAATACAAATTACCACTAAAGATGCCAGCATGGCTTTATCTCCGCAGAGTGCCCGCATAATGGTGTTTGGCATAGCTGATGAATTTAGTGAGCTATCCAGGGACCGACGGCATCTTCTCACATCTCATTCTGTGTGCTAATTCCCTCATTAGATGCCACTCGCTGGGCACCATGCCCGTCCTGCTAATGCACTATTAACTATTCCTGTGCTGGATGCAATTCTTATGAGCAGCAAATCGAAACAGAGTGAAAATACGCAGTTAACACAGTGATTTCCCATCCACAACCATCTGGATTAACTCTTTCTGTGCCACCCTTGCGCATGTAGCATGGACAGTATTAAAGAGGAATATTACTCCCCCCTTGTCCCTCAGTAAATGTTACAGACGGGTTTAGAGGTCAATAAAAGGCACACGTACTTCCCTGCACTATCATGTTCAGGGTACCAGCACCCGCCTGTCCTTGCGATATCACTTATCTAGTCAGAGACCATAAGTACACAGTATGCTCACTAACCGGCCACTGCGAGCACAGTACTGAAATCCCGCTGGTAATTTGAAATGTTTGGAGCCATGCCCCATAGGGGCAGTGTACCCACTATAGAAACGCATGGGACTGAGCAGTCTCTGTCACATGTGGCCACTGGCCAGCAATGAGGAAGGGACAAGGATCTGGCTGGGCTATCTCTGTCACATGTGGCCAGCAATGAGGAAGGGACCAGGATCTGGCTGGGCTGTCACATGTGGCCAGCAATGAGGAAGGGACCAGCATATGGGCTGTCTCTGCCATCACTGGATTCAAGTCGGTGCCTTGGGATTTGTTGCTGGGATTGGGGAAGCATCATATCTTCTTTAACTCTAATCCGTTGGTATTTTGACACTTTCCACCCAGACAATGATTAAATCAGTGGTAAAACCTACACTGCAGGACATTGCTCAGTTACTGAATAATGAAACCTTGTTACATCACGCAGGTACACATTCACCTGCGTGCCACTGTAATATATGACACTTCAGGAACCATAACCACTACGTGTACAGCTTATTGAAGAGGTTCTGGTGGACCCACCAGCTTTTGCCAAACCATTATTTTTTTGGAGTGTTTAGACAATAACTAAAGGATTCCTCAATGCCCACTCCCTCTGCTTGGGACATTTCACTTCCCCAGTATCTGTCCATTGTTTGTTAACCCTTTCAGTACTGTACACCCTCCTCTCTGTCAATACAACCTCTCCAGAAAGGTGCAGCCAAATCCTGTTATACCCCAGAGCCATATTTTACTCGGAAAATTAAACCAACCCATGATGACTTTCCTACCAGAACCAGTGGGCTTTGAGTGCTAGGGGAAATTTTTATTTTTTTTATTTTCAAACCATTTGAAATGGTCACACAAAACTAGTGAGATAGCACCCATGGCATTTATTTAGCATAACCCTCACAATAAGCGCTAACGTCACAGTTAGCACCATAACAACTTTGCATCATTGTAAATATCTCTGCAGATACAAGTCTGTCACCAGGGACAGTGATGGCCAAGGAGGAATTAGATTTATAGTTCTTTCAGGGATCGCATACAGAGTGGACGGACACCGGTCTCCTCGTCCCTCCGTGAACGCAAGCTGCGTACCAGACGGTGTAAATAACAATATGGCCGCTGTTAAATTACTGAGGGATAAACTACTTATGTCAAAACTATTGCTATACAGAAATTTACAGGCGAATAACAAAAATACAGTGAATTCCCATGATTGGTTCTCTGCTCTGGGAGGGCACCTCAGTGTTAAGTTTTAGGTCAGCCTGGATTGATCCTATACATCCATACCGTTATACCAGTACTGTAATTATTTATACCATCACACTGCTAATCTGATGTCAGCAACGTAAACTACGTCATCACTTTATTGACTCAAGACTTCATCTTCTACGTACATAGACGTGACACTCGATTAAAATGCATTGGGGGGGGAGGGGGGAGGTTTTATGTCAATTTCTGCATATTCTTCTGTTAACTATACAGTAAGATTTAATGTAAACAATCTATAACAATGCAGTAAACTGTAGTGGTTATGGTGTGCCTGAGATTGAATGAGAAGCTCCTGGGAGCGTGGGGCGCTGGGACCTGTGGGATAATACAATCTCTAACACAATGGGACTGTGTACGTTAACTCTTTGAGGAAAAGGTTTTGCACAAATCCTACAGCAGAGTTTCCTAAATCAGCCGTCCAGAGACACCAACAGTCCAGGTCAGTATCTCCATTGGAATAAAGCAGGACCCTTGGGGGGCCATGGGGACTTATTTGGAAACCTCTGTCCTACACTGTAACAGCCTGGCACTTTAACTCATGCAATGGTTAAATGGTATTTCTCACACAGCACCAGATTGAGAAGTTCTAAATGAATGCGGTGAATGAGGAGAGTGTTAGAGAAAGATATTTGCTTTTAAACTGTAATCAATCAATATTGCAGAGGATAAACAATAGATAATGTCCTGGCCACACTATCCATGATAAGGAGTAATAGGAACAAACAGAGGGAGCCAGAGGTTGGAAGGTTAAAGTTGATGCATTAACCCATTAAAGCTGGTGGATTAGCAGCTTGAGCAGTCTTCAAAAGCGCACACTTCCTGCAAGGCGTCGTATAGCCACCTGTCAGCAACGCATTGTGCCAATCTCATCACTCCCAGAGATCTGGTCTTTCACAAAAGAACCGTGAATATAAAACTCGCTCAGATTACCCGCACCAAGGCAGCATAGGCAGAGTGGAATAACTGAATGGCAAAATTCAGGATAAAATATTCGGAGAGCCCAGCTATTCAGGAAGACATTCTGCAATTTGTTTGACAATATTATCCAGTTAAGTGAACAAGCCCCATTAAAGGGAGAATAGCGATCTTTGCAGACTATGTCTGAATATGCGCTCAGGAACATTTAATACACATATTTATGACAATTCACTGCTGTTGTAACACCCCTCTCATCACTTTCAGTCAGCTTTTGGTGGGAGTTATAGTGCGGGCTACATTGCATTCATTAGAATAAACCGTGTTTCTATTCAAATAGTAATTTGACAGCTGCTATCCCATGCTGAACGCTTCCAGAATTAATAAAAAGCAGTAAACCTAGACCATCACAGAGTACTAATCGATCATTCCAGAAATATTTACTATTAACATCAATGATCTGCAGCAGATGCGATATTCTGCAAATAGCCCTGCTTTACCACACTATCGATAACGGACCAAATTCCTAGCTGTAGCTACGAAACAGCGACCCAAGGAACGCGCTTCATGGTGAGTAGCA